TCCACTGACAGGAAAATTAAGTTGATTTCCTGAAATTAAACTTAATTATTTATAAATCGCCTTGACTAAGCCACATATATAGAGATGGTCATTGGTCATACCAGTCAATATAATTTATTTTTTTAACACAAGTAAAATTCTCTCTTTGTGGCAGTGAAAAAAAATGCACCTTAAATTCTTTTTTATAAAATCCTGCTTAACAACTAATTCTTAGCATTGTTATATGAAGTCGTTGTGTAAGCATCCTATATTGCTAATAATAGACTTATTACTCTTATAATATAAGATGCTCTTATCCTATGGTGGAGAGAAAAAAAAAAACATATTACAAACTGATCTAGAAGGAATATCCCAGACCTGGAAGTCAGGAAATGTGGTAGTCTCAATGCTGAAGCTAAATACTTATCCCATTGGCTCCAAAGTTTATATTTTTTCTATTGCATTATTTCAGAGATTGGGGTGCATCTAGTAAGTGTGTTGTGGTCTTTTTTTTTTTTTATAAGACTTTAAAAATGTATACTGTACCTTACAATGAACGACATCTTAGAAATGAAATCTGGTAACTGCCTGACATTGGGTAAAGTATCTATTTCTTTTTTTTTTCTTTTATCTTCACCTGAGGACATTTTCTCATTGTTTTTTAGAGAGAGGAATGGAGGGAGGGAAAGGGAGAAATATTGATGTGAGAGAGAAACATTGATTTGCTGCCTCCCATATGCACCCTGACGGGGGAGTTGAACCTGCAACCTAGGTACGTGCCCTGACCAGGAATCATACCCACAACTTTTTGGTGAACAAGGGCAACATTCCAACTAACTGAGCCACACCAGCCAGGACTAAAGCACTTGTTTCTTAAGATTTCCATCTCCTAATTTGTAAAATAAGGGATTGTTACCAGAATATTCTTCCTTTTATAAATATATGATTAGAACAGTCAAAAACATATTCTGGCCAATGCCATGAACATTTACTGGGCTTTATATATTAATGTATGAAAGGGTTTAAACAAAATAAAATCCTACAGTTTACCTTCTATGAAATCTGCAGGAGAACAGAGGAGATGCAGCCCAAAACCTCAAGGTGTTCCTGACAGTTCCCAGCAACCTTAAATGCAAATAAAGAGCATTCAATTTAAGTATGTAAGTGCTGAGAGTCCTGGTAAAAAAAAAAAAAAAAAAAAAAAAAAAAAGTGCTATCACCTGGTAGGAGTCAATCAAGGTCAGAAGCCTGAGAAACTAGGCACCTTGCAGGCACTGGCTGCTAAGCCAGGTGGTAAGAGCAGAATCCCCACAGCCAACTGGGAGAAACTTCAACCTGCACTTCTGGGAAAAGCTAAAACTGACCACATGGGCTAATGCAGAAGATTATTTGCATTTGTGCACAGAAGACATGAGCTCAGATCTGAAGAGCTTGTCTGTAATAAATGTGAGATTCTGTGTAATGAATTACGAGGGAAGTGTTCAGAAATCAGAAACCAAATGGCCTTTCGGAATTGTGTAGAGCCTGGTTAATAACCTTCCTTTGGGTCAGACATTCATGTTCCTAGGATGCAGCTCAAAATCTGTTTTCCTCCTCCTGAACATCTGTCTGAAGGCTGAAAGGGGCTGTCGATGACACAGCTGCTTGTCTGGCTGCACGGAGCAGCCCCCAATCCCACGTGCGGGCCCTTCACGGGCCCCTAGTCTCCTATCTGTGTCTTTTCACTGTGCTGAGCCCCTGCTTGGAGCTGAGACCATTTGTCTCCCTGAAGGCGAGCCAGGGTGGTGGGAGTGGAAATCTGTGGAGCTGGTAGGCAGGCTCCCGTTCTGAGGTCTAAGATTCATAGAAAGAACAGAGAATACATTAAACAAACATCTGAGTCCCCACCACCCAGATGTAACCATTGTTTACAGTTGTTCACTCGCCCTTGTTTCAAATAAAGCTCAAGGCCTTTGTTTGTTTTAAGTCTCTTTCTCCTCCTCTCTCCACAGGGAACCACTACCATGAATTTGGTGTGTATTTCACCAGTCAAGTGTGGGGCTGCTTAAACCCCACATTTAGAGCTGGAAGTTATGTTAGGATCTAAGCTTTTCTCTTTTTAAAATGATGATATTAAAGCCTAAAGGAATTAAATAATTAATCCAAAGTCTTCCTCTTTCTTTCCCCCTCCCTCTTTCCCTCATTTCTTCTTGCCTTCTCCCTCTCCCATTCTGAATTTATCCAGTGGCCACTATATGCTGATCTAGGCTATACAGACTTCTAAAAAAGAAGAACAGGAAGGAAGAAAAAAAGGAAAGAGAAATGTGGCGTGGCTTAATTTTTCTTACCAAGAAAGGGGTGTTCACACACGTGAAAGAGGAAATGATGCAAGACAGTAGAGGATTAAAGGTTAACTTCCCTTTGATCAGGGCCAACTACAGAAGCCTTAGAAGGTACTAGGCACCGTCCGAAAGAGGAACGTTAGTACTGACTGGGTTCTTGGGAAAGGTTCTCTGGCTGGGGACCACGGTGGGAGAGTTCATTCTGAGCCTGATGCACAATGAAGAGGAAGGAAAGAGAGAAAGGACACAGCAAGGCGTGCTGAGAGTAGTGGAAGGTGAGCTTATGAAAGTGTGGAGGAGACAGATTGTAGCAGGGCCGTGTATCAGTTGAAGAATTTTTTACCTAACAAATTGGTAATTGTCTCTTTTTTCCAACCATAATATCTAATAAATGGTGATAGTTTAAGAAAGATACTCAATAGTGAGAGTGCAAGTTGCTAAAACTTTTTTGAAGAGGACTTTTGTCTCAGAGGCTCAGATATGTGTGTTCTTTAACCAGTAATCAGCTATGTGGTTTTTAACAGAAAGAAAAAAGCAAATAAATTAAATGTTTAAAAAGACCATTGTAATTAGGTATATTCTACATTTAAAAATGGCATATAGAGTCACAGGAAAATATGTGGAACCAGGATATATTAAATTTAAAAAACATAAAAAGTGAAATATAGTACAGTAAATTTTTTGTCACAAAAATATATGCACATAGCAAAAAGACTGAGGGAAAAAGGCACCTGAATATCAACAATGAGTATTTTTGGGAGGTAGAATCAATCACTTGTGACTTTTCTTTTTTTCTTGTTGCTTGTTCAGATTTTCTAAAATCCTTCAATGAAAATGTTCACTTTGTAATAAGGAAGAAAATTATAAAAATGGCAAACCATAACAACTATGTATTTTTAAAAATAATCTGAATTTCATAGAGCCAAAAATAAAATTATTCTCATTTATGAAAAACAAATTAATTTCACTGTCTAAGAACCTGGGGTGTAATGATCTCAGGGTTGAAATTCCCAAATGATGATACGACTGAGGAAGAATACACACACTTCTAAAAGTATAAGGGGTAAAGAATAATTTATGAGGGCTTAAGGCTTGAATAAGGTAATGATTTAAAGGCTGAGTTAATTCCTGTAAGAAAATCATGCTGTTCAGTGCACTTCTGCAAAGGAACGTTATCACTTGGGAGATAATATATCTGAAGTGTAGTCTAATGTCCATTGACATTTTTATGTTTGATAAAGTATGCCTCTAGCAACCTTCTCCTTTAGTTTATTTATTTTGCTTAAAAAGAAATATGTGCCCAAAAAACCCCACAAAAAACCAACAGTATTTCTTTCCTGAAATAGGCATTTCTCAGATTTTCCCACTAGCTTACCAATAATTTTAGGGAAGCTCCCTAATCATTTGGAACTTCAGATTCCTCCCTAGAAAATGAAGTACTGAGAAAGTTTTCCTTTAGCCTTAAAATTCTCTAGTTCTATGCTGATAACAAAAGTTCTCATTCAAATTGTCATATGTGTACACAAATCATTCTGAAAGAAAAAGAAATGCCAAATGAACCAGAGTTTTACCTCCATTTGTACCAAAAGTGTTTTGGACACTACTGTATTTGAATTGAGTGCTCATTATATGCAGCTGATGACCCAATCAGTCCCAATGGAAATATTTGCTTTCATTTACTTGGAAGCACTTCAATTACTGTAAATATATACACACCAGCAATAGAATTGATTAGCATTTCCCCCATTGTGTGTGTGCATGTGAGTGCATACAGAATCAAAAACAGTAGAACAGCTTAGGTGGCAGAGAGCAGCTAATGCTAGCAGTTGGCTCCAGTCACAGGATGACAAGAAACACAGGTAAGACAGCATCAAAAATGACCTTTATCTAATTCACATATTTGCCTATTTAAATAAAATTCTAAAAAGCAAACAAATTTAAAAAAAAATAAACAGGCAGGGGCCTTGTAAGGATAAATGACCATACTGTGCCAGGACTGAGATGAATAATCAACTCCATGTCGATGACAATTAAAATTTTTAACCCACAAAATTTGCTTTTGAAATTATAACCCTTTGTTCCTTAGCTAATATTTTTAACTTCTTAGAAGATGAGCATCCGATAGTATTTGACATATGCTGGGGTCTGTTTAACAGGAAGAGATGAAAAGTGACTACTATTGTTTTTATTTTAGCGTATTATTGTCCTTGCCACCCCAATTCCCATTCTCAAAATTGGTGAGATTTGGGTAGGTATTTTGGAATAAACTTTAAGTTTTCTAGTTAGGAAATGGAAAGAAAAAGACCATGAAAAAAATAGTCAAAGAAATTAGTGGTTATCTTCTCTCCTCATATCAGTGACTAAGAATGAAGATAAATTCCTCCCAACCTCAGACCTTTTGTGCCCTACATATACGTGGACCCCTCTGGAAGGCTCGGCACAAAAGCATGTGTGCATGGGAAGCATGTGGGTGTGTATACACATGCGCCTACAAAGAGTGGTAGGAGAACCCACAACTTAGGTATTCAGAGTTTCATGACATAGAAGAGGGGCATCATTTCCTAAGTTTTTATTAAAAGAATTAATATTGGAGAGCTGGGGAGAAGCAGCATGCTGAGCTTTTCCTTAAATGTTCCCAAAAGCAAACTCGCTTTTTTGACTTGATATCACCAGAAACAGAAATGTGAACTTCTTGTGTAGGTCAGTATCCCCGGCACCCAGGATGAGCCTACTCCAGAGAAGAATGAGCCTCCAGAGCCTACTTGGGCTGAGAGCCTGGCCGCCACCCCAGGGCCATTGCTCAGCATCCACGAGGATGGGGCAGAGGGCCTGGAAGCCAGAACTCTAAGTCCCATTTTGAACTTACAGCCAGAAGAGTTGGTGCACAAAGGTAAGAGGTATCTGTGAATCAGCTCCTGCATCTACATGTGAAAAAGGCACAGAAATGTTCTCTACAATATCCTTTAGAGAGAACGTTTTTTGATTGTAAACAGTGGGGGACAAAAGATAATTTTTCACTTTATTATATAGAGAATTGAAAAATCGGCTGGCTGTAGAACAAACTTGGTCAAAAATTTTAAATCTCTTTAGTGTTTGTTGTTATTATTTTTCATTTGAAAGTCTTTACAGAGGGCTGTGCTCTCGTGTTTGCCGTAGTTCCTACCACTCCGTATTACTTACATGTGGGCTTCACACACATAGACATTTGAATTTTGAACCCTAATTTATAGAAGAGAGAGGGGAAAAAAAACTAGAATCTAGATTCATCAACATATATTCTATGGGATTAATATCTATATAAATTAACCATTAGATATAGTTTCTGAAGAACATGCCAGAAAGACAATATTCTTGCTTAAAAGAAGAAAAGACTGGCTTGAAAACAAGTTACATGATATTTAGTTATGGTTTTTAAGAGCAAAGATAGTGAAAATCCACTGCTCCTTTCCACTTGATTTAAGGAGTGTTTATTTAGTTTTAGAACTAAATGAATTGAAACATACTCCAAATCTAGGGAAATGATCATGAGAGATAGGGAGAGGGCTGATTTTTGATATTGAGAAATGAAGCTTATAACATATAAACCATCTCACAGAACACAGAAAGCAGCCAGTATCTATTTGATCTTTTTCTGTGGCTTCCCTCTTCCTTGAGTAGGAAATATGAATAGTGGCACTAAGGAGTTCCATGAAATAAGAAAGGATTTGACAAAGGATTTATTGTTGTAGCTTTTCTTTGCTTTTTTACAGTGGATGTGTTTCTGAAATCTATTTGTAAACTGACATAAAAGGTCATTTTTTTAATACTGCAGGAGCTCCTCTTTACAGAAGAAATTTGTGATATGAAGGAGAGCACTTTGCTTTACTTTCTTTTGTAACATAAAAGGATCTTTATGTTCTTTTTTAGTGGCACAATGATGTGTAATTGCAGCGGTGCTTTCTAGGAACAAATTGGAATGTGTATAGAAAGCCAAAATCATCAAATCAAATATTAATTTAATTTTTAGTCAATTGCAAAGTAAACCAGGAAATTCTATTTTTTCTCCTGTCAACTAATTCTCACAAGAATATTAGCCAATGAAGCCTCACAGTGTTATGCTTTCCGGGAAATAGGAATTTTTATCGGGGTTTCATGAAGATGAAAAGTTTGTATGTTTTCAGAGGACTGTATATTTATTGGTGGAGTTTCAGGTGGTAGAGGAAATGTTTTGGGTATTAGAGAACACTTCTTTAGTTTAGGACAGTATTTTCCTAGTTGGCGTGTTAGTGTGCATGGAGAACAAATTTTATAAAGCTTTTATTTTTCATCTTTTCAGTGAAAGAAAAACCTATAACAACACATTGTCCTTTTCTCAACCTAGACCCTACATGCTTAGAAGACCTAAAGCCTGGCAACTGCAGTGACTATGTGGTTCGATGGTATTACGACAAACAGGTCAACTCTTGTGCCCGCTTTTGGTTCAGTGGCTGTTATGGCTCAGGAAACAGATTCAACAGTCAAAAGGAATGTGAAGAAACCTGCATTCAAGGATGAGGCAGTACGTCAGCCTGTAATGCGTCAAGTCTACATCTCTATCAACAAGTCTAGAAAGAACCTTCCTAATTTCAACATACTCACCCAATACAAATAAAGCACCATATTTGATTGCATACTGAGTATTTACAATTTATAAACATAACTGAATCCTTATAACCACACTAGGGTGCAGATATTATTAACCATGTTTATAGGTGAAGAAGCTGAAGCTCTGAAAGGTTTAGAAATTTAACAGTGACCCAACTAAAAAAAATGGCTGAGCGGAGGATTTGACTCAGAACTGTGCAACCCCAATACATAGGTTTAGTATCTAGTTCACAACCTGCAATGTGGTCCTGATTCCTGTTTATTCCCATTCTATGTCATATGTTGGATTAAGCTCCTTACCCAGCCCAGCCCCCAATTCCTCCCTGGTCCCCTGGTCTCCCGGTCACATCTACCTACTTCAGCGACCCAGACCTTTCACAGCCATGCTAATAGCAAAAGGTAGGTAGGCAGTGGAGAAGCACTCGGGTTTGGGCGTCAGATGTAACAGGAGTGTGTTTGTACATAGGAAGTCATGAGATAACGATATCCTGCTTGGAAGAAACCTACCAAGATGGAATGGTTCTGAGAGATGAGAGGTGCAGGAATAGGAGAGGGAGTGGTGTGGTTAGATTTTTGCCCCACTTGCTCTGAAACTGAATGAAAAACCAATCTGAATTAAAATGATTTAATTCAAGTGGATTCACAACTGTCACTCTACACTCCTCCAACATTTTTGATGACAAACCTTTATTGTGTGCTAAAACTATATATTGAAAACAAAAATTGTAATTTAAATAAAGGAACTTTTCTCGCCCCTCCTTGGAAATATGTAAATAATGACTTTCAATTCTAGGTGGATGGAAAAAGAAAGCACTTGACAGCCAGGAACTACTTAAAACCCACATCCACTCTTGAGGAGGGTATTTTAGGGAGAGGCCTTAGGCTGAAAAATGAGCTATCGAGTTGAAATATGACCCAACAGAGTAATAGAGAATTGGCTCTGTGTTTCATAACAATTTTGTGACATCCAGTCTGGGAAGATCATCAGTTTTGAGCTAAGCTCAGACAGCACTTGGGTCTGTCTCCTGGCACCCTTTCTTCTTCTTCCAGGCCTGTGGCCCTCATTCAAGGTCAGTGGTACTGAAAACAAAATAAAACTAAACTAAACTAAAGAAAACACTCAAGAAAGGAGGTGCTGGAAGAACAGCCATCTTAGCAAAAATCATTTTGTGTAGTTTGATTAAATTTTTATGATGTAATATTTGATACTACCAAAGAATATAAGCAATATACTTGTAAGTTTAAAAATCTGCTAATAAGATGAACACCAGTGAATATTTCACATAGAGAATGACCAAACAACCAATTCTGTTGAAGCTTCCTGCGCACATTGGAAGAACTCAATTCATTAAATAAAAAATTAGAACTTACTTTTTTATTACATAGTTAACTACTTGGAAAAGGAGAATAGAAATAGATCAGAAAAATTATACCAGTGTAAAAGGAAAAATAAGAGAAAAGTGGTGTGTCAGTGAGTAAAAGCTATTACTCTCTCACCTGCTTTGAGATTCAGAACAACCCCTTCCCCTTCTTCCTCACCAGGATTAGCAAAACAAAGAGACGATTCAGAGGGAGTGTTGTCTAGCTAGAAAAATAATCAGAGAGGCTGAATCAAACAATCTGAGAATTAATTCTGGAAAAGAAAATGATGATTTATGTTTCTGTTTTAAGCTAGTCAAAAAGCCAATAAAGATGGAGAAGATACATGACATTTTGTTTCTCTATTCCCAAATGGAAAAAGAATAGACTATGTACAAAATGTGCTAGGATCAAGAATGTGTAGTGTCTAAAGAATTCTCCATTTAAAATTAAGATATTGAGAAACTTTTAGTATTTTATCAATACTAATGATGTTCAAGAATTTTAACAATTAAAACACTCCACTGAAATGTTAAAATATCTTAAGTGATCATTCATCTGGAATGGATCTATCATTCCATTGAAACAACTTTGCCCACTGCAAAAAATGCTCTAATCAGGGGTCTGCAGAGAGAGATAAATGTATGCAATGACAATTAGACTGGTGATTTTAGTCTTAATGTTTATCCTAAATGCAACAAAAAGTAAATGAGGGAATGGGAGAAAAATATTTGCAAGTAATATGTAACAGAATTGTTTCATATCTCTAATAAACCAAGAGATCCTATAAATCAAAAAGAATAAAAAGGAAAAAATAGAAAAATGATAGAGATTGTCAGCTCAGAGGAGATGGCCAATAAATCTTCATTAACGTCAGAGAACTGGATGCTAAGTAGGTCTGGGGTGAGGCTGTAACGCCCATAGGAAAGTCAGCTGAACAGCCCTGGCTGAAAACCACAAGGAGACATCTGCATTATGCTAACCTTTGGAGACGCTCTGCTATTTGACTATTTGACTTGGGATTTTAGCCACTATTTAGACCTCTTTTCTTGCAAATCTATAATTCAATGTCTTATGCAAATAACAATAGAAAGATGGATTAACGCTCTGAAGAGTCCAAGATTTCCCTCTCCTTATAATATTTTTTAGTATAATGTCATTAAAGTAAGAAATATTTTAGAATGTGTGTGTATGTATGACCATAAAATAAGAATAGCCCCAAATCATATTTCACACATATATTTATGGCAATTTGGATTTTTAAAAAATATTGAACTGAATTGAATTTTAAAAGCATTATTTTTTATCATTTTATCAATATTAATATCTTTGAAAATCTTTTTCATTTAAACAAATATATTTAAAGTCACACCAGACTCTGAAAGTTAGGACTTTTTGAATTAAGTTTAAAAAGAAGGGCTCTAAGAATCACCAAGAATCTTCTAGTCCTATGTCTCCTCTATCTGTTGCTTATGTCCTTCAGGCAAATATGCTAAGTCACTGGGCGTTCTTGGGGTGAACACTTCTGCTAGGACGATTACCTGGGCAGCCCCGTTCAGATAATGCCGACCTCACTGCTGTCGCAAGTGCTGCGTGTCTCCTGTGGCTTCCACCCTAACAGGCTCCTACTCTGGCCTGAGGAGCCTTCTAGAACAATGGTGTTATTATTTTAAGATGGGCGCTATGTCCTCTTTCGTTCAGGCTGCTTCAGCAGCTTCTCCTCCTTCTGTGGTTCTTTTCCCATCCTAGACGCTAGCTCTGCGTGTGCCCTGCAGTATGTGAGGCTGTTCAGAGGGACCTGAGCAGGAGAAAGGAGCAAACTAACATGTCCCTTGTTCTAAATATTATATTCTAATAGAGTATTAAAAACCTAAGATAACTGCCACATTAATAAAGACACGGCAAAATTTCCCTCTATCTTGGAAGCAAAAAGAAGGAGGAATTACATAGTAGGAATTCTAAATGGTGAAATAGGCCTTGTGCATCGCAAAGACAGCAAAGGCTTCTCTCCCTTTTTCTCTCTGAACTTGACTGCAGGCTTCACTTTTATTTTTGCCAGTCTTCCAATTTGCCCTTACACTCTGCACTCACAGTTTCTTAACATTATTTTTAAGTACTAACAGAATTCTCCAATTATTTCCTCCTGAGCATATTAGTTGGTGTTATCTTAAATTTATTACTTGGCTGTTTTCCTTCTCTCACATCCTAATGAGAGTGCAATGGTTTTGTCAGTATCTGCAAATTGGGATTTTTCTCAGATTGATTCTATTATGAATAAATCTCTGCTCAGACTTGCTTTCAGCTGTTTAAAACAAAACAAAACATGTCCCTCATGGTGGGCATGGGGGGCAGGGACAAAACCATTGCCTTTATGTAATTGTCTGATCTCTGGTCTTCCAAGAAATGAATATTGGAATTTTTAGGCTTTCCCTGTGGTACATGACTTTGTTATTAGAAAAATACTCACAGATACAGTAAAATGGACTAAAATTGTGCCTCTTCAAATATTAGAGTGTGCCAGAGCTTTTCCCAGACTAAAAGTGAGAGACCAAATCTCTTACGTTCACTTTGGACCGCTCTGCACCTTTATCACAAACCAGCAGTCCCTCTCTGTACGATTTCTCTGTCAATGGTGTGATCACTCAGCCAGTGACATCATCTGCCCTCAGTGAAACCTCCCCAGCTCCTTCCTCTCCATCACTCTCCCCATATCCAATTGCTCAGTGTACCTGCTCTGTCTCTCTTCCTGTTCCTCTCTGCCCTGAGTCCATCATTTCCTCAATGCTGGCCTCCTTACCGCCATCTTATCCTCACCTCCAACCTTTACCCACCCAGCACTGTGGAGTTACAGTAAATGGGATCCAATCATTCTCCTTTTTAAAATACATTAGGGATGCTCCAGCTTCTTCAAGAGACAGAGTACATTTTTTAGCACAGTGTTCAAGGTCTTGCGGGGGACCTCATTGCTGCTTACATTTCTAATTTATCTCCCTTCAGGTCCTTCGACATGTTTTTTGATTCAGCTACTCTCAACCATTTGCTCCTCTTTGAAAACACCATTCATTTCCTTATGGGACTCTTCCCTTCCCTCCTTCCCTCTCTCCCTCACATCTTCACTTAGCATTATAAAATTCATTCCTTGCCAGTTAAGTCCTACCTGAGTCTTTTGAAGACTTGAATTTAATCAATTCATTTTTGTTGGGCCCTTAAGTGTGTCCAGTGTTTTGTTACTACGACCAAATCTTCATCGAACATCCTTGTCCATGTTAGTCTATATATAGGGACAGTGCATCTACAGAAGATATTCGTAAATGAAAATTGTAAGGACAAAGTGAACATGCTTTTGACAGGCATTTCCAAGTGCCCTCTTTAAAGACTGTGCCCATTTGCATTCCCCCAACTTAGCAGCACGCTTGCTCATTGGTTTCCTCACCCCCCTGAGTATGGCCGGTTCACTGATCTTTGCTCATCTGATGGTTGAAATGAAATCTCACTTTAGTTCTAATCAGTATTTCACTTTCATTTTTTCATTTCTTTATATGGTGAAGTATTTTATATATGCAAAAGAGTATATGTGACATATAATTAGGTTTTCAAGTAAAATAAAAGCCTGTGTGTCTATCATCTAGTTA